AATTGCTACCAGAAATGCTGGTAGCCGTGAGCACATACAACTGTGGTTCCTGGCCCAAAACAAGCGCCAGGGAAGCTTCCCTCAGTGGGCACAGGCTGGCACCTGGCGGGATGAGTGCTGGGGATGGGTGGGGAGCAGTGGGCAATGGGGCAAGGCCTGGCCCAGTAGGCTTTCACTGGGAGTAAGCAGCTTGCTTTCTGCCATTGTTGTCTTCAGTCTCATGCACCCTTCCTGACCCTGCTGCCACAGGACCTGTGGTTGGAGAGAAGAAACCTCCAGTGCCCTATGGTTCGGCATCTTGTCGCGCTTGCTGATGGGGAGGGAGTTTGTTTTTAAGGAGCTGGGACATGAGGGACAGTGGCATGATTTTTCTGAAAGAATTCCACATCCTCCATCACTTGTTTTTGCAGCAAGCTTATAAAGAGGGTCAGCCACTTGGTGGGGAGGAATTTGAGAGATTGGTCGAAAGGTTAAGGGGTACCCTTGGAACAGGTGAGGTGTTAAAACCCTCCCACCCCGTCACTTTTCCCATCTAACTGCCCGGCCTTCATTTATTAGTGGCACCGCCTGTGATGCAGACAGCATTCTATTGTGCTGGTTCCAAGTTCATGAATTCCTGTGGCCTTTATGAGATCGGGTTATACTTACACTATCTGAAATGTGCATCCAAGAATCTGGGCGCGACTGTGCTGAGATTTTGTGTTGACCTGAGGGGATTGCTTGAAAGGGGCAACTCTGATTGTTTGGAAGGCAGTCAGTTCTTTGGTGACTCATGTGGTGCTGTCACTTTACTTCCTTACGCCACCTCCTAACCTGCAGGGACGTTAATAAGACAGGTACTGCTGGCCTCCTGTGCATTACCTACAGGGACTTTGGTAAGATAGAGGCAGTGCCGGCCTCGTGTGCTTTACTGCAGGGGCTGGAATATGCTCAAGAGCTCAGTCCAGTTTCTCCGTTGCTGAGCGCCTGGGATTTGGGGGCCTTTGTTCAGGCTCCACGTACCCTCCACCTCACATTGTGTCCTCTTCCCTGCAGACTGCAATAAGGTCACTGACCAATGCCTGTCCTTCTTCAAACGCTGTGGAAATATCTGTCATATTGACCTGAGGTACTGCAAGCAAGTCACCAAGGAAGGCTGTGAGCAGTTCATAGCTGAAATGTCTGTGAGTGTCCAGTTTGGGCAAGTGGAAGAAAAACTCCTGCAAAAACTGAGTTAGTCCAGGACTAGTGTGTAAATACGGGGTGGGTGGGGGGAAGGGGCAGCGCCAGGGGGAGGGAAAAAGACTTTACAGAAACTAGGGCTTTTATTTTCAATTTGGAACTTGGAACAACAGACCACGGAGCGATCCCATTTTGCAAGTCTTGCCAAGGCAATGCCGTTCCACCACCCGTTTTGGGGATGAGTGAGCTGGACATTTGGGTTATTATGAAGAGTAACTGCACTGCTTTCTGGACCATTTCTAAGGCGTTCTTTACCAAGAAGACATTCCTGTTGGAGAGGAGGATGAACTTTGGAGAAATTCTCTTGCTGAAGCATGAGCTTAGGAGTTTATCTGTATTTTTTTTTTTTTTTTTTTTTGTGGGTTGTTTTTTTTTGTGGTGGTGTTTTGTTCTGGACACCTCATTCCTTGCAACTCCGGGGTTTTGGTGTCAACATTAAGTGGACCACACAACACATCTGCCGTCTTGACATATTTTGTTTGGTTTTGTTACATCTTACATTATGAGGAATTATTTTTGTACAAATTGTTTAAAAGTTATTTATGCAAGGTTTGAATGCATATCAGTGTTTTTATTGTTTTATGATTGCCAACTTTCCTGGTTTCCTTGAGGTAGGAGAGAACTTACCCTGGACTTCATCAACACAAATAATCCATCTATACATGTGCCCAGACCTGGCCGAGCAGGCTGAGACCTTCCGGTTAAAAGCATGTTTACCTGGAAGCAGAGAGCCTGCTTTGGACGTTAAGAAATTACATAAGCATGTTGTGCATATATGTAAAGTATAGTGGAAGTAAGACACTTCGCCAAGGTTCCCCTGTATAGAATTCACCCTTTTCTCAAAATTTTAAAATTGAACTTCAACCTTTGTACTCAGGAGGGTTTGCTCCAGCATGAGCTCTTGGACTCTACATAGATCTAATTTATATGGTGAGTCAAGAAGTAGAGTAAATGGCCCAACGTAGCCTTTCTTTTCCTTTTCTCTCTCCTTTGCAGTGTGAGCAGAGTTCTCGTTTCAGGTTTATAACATGGCTATTTCCCAGTTGTAAAGATATGCATTCATAAGTGCCATTGTTGTTTGGTGGTGTTTTCCTAGACCTTCCCAACTCAGTTTTACCTTTGTTGAATTTGTATAAACGATTGTACAAAAAAAACCCCACTCTTGGACTTGAGGGTTTCTGTTCTAGGAGTGGACTAGACATTTGATTAGAAAGTCTAGGGGCACTAATCTCAAAACTAGTATATATTGTTTTGAAGCCAAACAAGCTGTAATTTCTTATTCATCTGAGAATTGCAGTAGTCCCTTGGGAGAAGGAAGGGGAGAGAGAGAGAGAAACATTAATGATGATAGAGAATCAGTGGGATCGAGCCCGAAACCCAGGCATGTGCCGTTGGCTGAGACCTCCTGTTTCGTACATAGGTCGACGTTCAACCACTGAGGCACACCAGCCGGCTTTCCTCATCTTTAGAGAGAGATCTTACTGTTTATGGCTAATAAAGGTAGTGGGAAAGAACTATGCTACACAATGTCCACTTGGTATTTTTACTGCCAAAGGTGGGGGTGTGTGGAGTCCATTTTCTCAACCTCCCATTAGAGGCAACTCGAGGCTACATCCTGTGCTTTAGTAGCCTTGGGCCAGGGTAGCTGGAGAGGCTTGGTTATGAGGTAACTTCCCCAGGTGGCGGATGCAGAAACTAGTGAGAAGTAATTTTAGATCTAACGGCAGAGCCTTGCAACCTTGTACTCAAATACAGAAAGAAATGCTCTAGTGAATCTGAAAATGGAGAAGATAACCCCACTTCCTGCCTCCATAATCAGTAGCAACATAAAACTTGGGTCTCGTGGGACAAGCCTTTTCTGCTAACGGTAGTTTTCATATTGCTGGCCCTCCCTTTATCTTTCTGTTTGTCATGGCAAAATGATTGTAGATCCCATCTAGGTTGTGCCTTCTGTTAATTTAAATCCATAGATTCTTTCTGACTTAGATTGGAGACATCTGAAGCTGTTGCACCCCAGAATTTAATTTGGGAGATGCATTTAACAGAAGATTAGTTTAACACTCTATGGTTTATTTATAAAACATGGCTTACCCTTGCAAGCCTGACAGTTCATCATGGAGCACCCCCATTGGAGGTCAAGTTTTGGTTTTCTTGACAGCCTGAGTTCTCTGAACCCCTGGGTAAGTTCTCCTGATGTCCAGTAGAGGCATCCTCTTCCTGGGGAATTGTTTTAAGGAACATCATGGTTTTCAGGTAAACAGATCTGTGTTAGAGGCCCCTGATTGTCCTATAACGTTTCTGGGAGCACCCAGGCTTGCTGAGAGGAGGTTCCAGAGCTGGGAATCCTTAGCTACCATAGGGACAAATCACAGAGTCAAGACACAGCGTCTCACCAGGCTTGAGGCAGGTTTCCATAGTGGTTTTAACAGGCGAGCTCCCTCCCAAGTATTGAAAATTCTGAGGTTTTACCCCAGCACCCAGTCTCGGTACAGACCTGTCATTTAAAAAATGAGCTTTAGATAAGGCCAAGCTGAGCTAAATGCTTGCAAACAGCTGCTCTGAGCCCAAACAACATTATCTGATGATGTAATGAAAGTAACATAAACCAGAGGTGGTGCTTCCTGTGTGAGATCACGGCTAAGAACCCAGGAAAGAGAGGCTCCATCCCTCCTTCCTCTAGGAAACCTTATGTTTACAAAGGAAGACACTGTGACTCCTCTAAAGCATCAAGTGCCATCCTTTTATATTGTGAGGACAGTGACAAGGAGATGACATTGTATTCTGTTTTGGACTTTCAGAATTTTATCCATATGATATATTATGTATTAAAAAAATTAACTTCGCCGAGGTCGGTTTGGCTCAGTGGATAGAGCATCGGCCTGCGGACTGAGGGGTCCCAGGTTCGATTCCGGTCAAGGGCATGTACCTGGGATGTGGGCACATTGGGGATGTGCAGGAGGCGGCTGATCGGTGTTTCTCTCTCATCGATGTTTCTAGCTCTCTATCTCTCTCCCTTCCTCTCTGTAAAAAATCAATAAAATATATTAAAAAAAAAAATTAACTTTAAGAGGCATGGTATGCCAGCTATAAAATGCAGACTTCAGAGAGAAATGTTTGCTTTTTGCCAAACAAGTTAGTACCTTGTAATTCAGTTATTATAAGTGTCAAGCCTGTTAGGCTAAAAATTTGTTGGCTTCTCACTAAACCAAGGTGACTTTGAAACACTACTTAAAAAGATCCTCCATTAAGTTTTTATCCTTTTGCTAAAACAAGCACTTGAAACTTATATAAACCCAAGAGGAAATCATTAAGTAAGTTGTTTTAAGCTGAGACTACGTGCAAATAAATCTCACTTTCCTAATTTAACCTTAGACAAACCAGCACCTACTGCTCAGCTTCTAAATGTGCTTGCTATTGAGGGCTGGCCTGGATTTGAAGACTTCCCAATTTGTGGGGAAGGCTGAATTTCTGGAGCTCACTGTCTCAATAAGTAAGGCAAGATAAGTGCTCCTAAAGCTTCAGCAGGTGCCGAGTTTTATGGCTTCTGTAGGGAGGCAATGACCTGCTCATGCTGGTTAGTGTGAACCGCAGCCGACACCCACCCTGGGCTCTTATGAAGAAGGGAGCTACAGCCCTAGCCGGTTTGGCTCAGTGGATAGAACGTTGGCCTACGGACCAAAAGGTCCCGTGTTTGATTCCGGTCAAGGGCACATACCTTGGTGTGGACACCCATTCACACTATACCCAAGTGAATTAGAAACTAGGACAATGTAAAGAAAAGCATTTTTGAAAATCTAATTTTATTCCTAAAGTTCAAATTAGCTAGCAGTAGCACTGAAAATACACTTTCACTATACAAAACAGTGTAAACCAATTACACATTAGTAAAGAATTTAACACACACTTTTTTCTAGTGAAGAAGCTAGATGCAGCCCTTGCTATAAAAAGCTGTACCTGAACAGAAATGGACATGTTATTAGTCTCTAAGGCCCTGGCAGTTGACTATATAGAAGAATGTCAGTGTTCTCAATGAAGTTTAAATTCAGAAATAGCAACAATGTGGAAACTTACATTCATCAAATAGTAGCATTTAAAATATCCATGACTAATAAAGTGAACATTCAGAGGTACCACTGCTCAGCATGTACCATGTTGGTCAGTTGTGGACAGTGATCTCATCCAAACAGAAGTTTCAAACATCTGAGTAGTTTAAGCTAAAAACAGGAGAACGGAGAAGAGAAGATAAATGTCCTCCAAAGGGAGAGTAGCTGATGCCATCAGCAGTTACTGATCACAGACGTGTGATGAAGCCGGGCTGAACCTGGGAAACAGCATGTCCACAGGCTGACAGGCATATGGCACGGACCAATGTTGCCGTAACTTATGATGAATCTTTGTTCCCAGTTAGTAGTGAAAATAATTTTAAAAAATAACTTCAACTTTTGAACAGTAAGTTTCCAGTCCCTTCTGTGCACGGAAATGTCTGGGTTCAAGCTTGGGGGCGAATGTCCTATCGGGGAGAGCATCTACTTCAGGACTTGAACACGTGCACAGCGCGCACCACATATTGTCGGCAGATGGGACACTCACTCATGCGCTTGCCGCACTTGGTGCAGGTGACCATGTGCCCACACTCGAGCAGGACACAGTCGATGACAGCATCCATGCAGATCCGGCACAGGCTGTCATCTTCCTCTTCCTGCAGCTGCAGCCGCTCGCCATCTGAAAGGTAACAGAGAGCTAGAACTGCGCCTGATAGGCTGAGCAGCCACCTGCTGAGTGACCACAATAGGCACAGCATGATCCTGCAGTAAGAAATAATCCCAACTTCTCTGCACTTCCCTCCACTAGAGATGGCAATATTAATGCCTACACCTGGTAGAGTTTTGTGAGAATAAATAAATGAGAAATGCTTAGCTTAGGACCAGATATGAAGTGCCCAACAAATGTTAGCTATTTAATTCTATTTTAATCTATGTAATTCCAGGTTTTGGTGAGGATTGCTTCTGTAAATAAAAATGAGGAAACCTAGGTTGTCCTTAGTATGGGCCTTGGAGTCAGAACACCTTGGAATTTTCAGCCACCTCCAACTTGGGAAAGTTGCAGTGTCCGGGGCCTCACCTCAGCAGGAAAAAGTTATATTTCCATAGTGAAGTTACAAAGAGTTGTACATCAAGTAGCCTGTAGTTGGAGGAAGCCCCAGACTCCAGCCTTGGAAGCATCTCAAAAGCCACCTGTTTCTGGCCACCCTGGTACTGATGAAATGTAACTGAAAAGGGTTGTGGGCCTTTTCTGGCTCTCTGGCCCAGATTAGGTTTTGAGAAAATCCAGAATCTGAATAAGAAAGGTGCTAAATGAATTCTAAAAGTTCACAGCTTGCCTGCCATGACTTGGTATGACTCATTTAGTTGGAGTGTCATCGTATACCAAAAGGCTGCGAGATCAATCCCTGGTCAGGTCACATATGGAAGGCAACCAATTGATGTTCTCTCTCTCTCTCCCCCCGTTCCCTTCTCTCTAAAATCAATAAGCATATCCTTGGGTGAGGATTAAAAAAAATTTTTTTAAGTTCATAGTCTGAGATTTGGACCTAGAGTCAGAGATATTGAGGCTTCCATTTCTACAAGTCACAGAAAGGATCAATGGGGATCATAAATATGGTTTGGAAGGACAATAATTCAAGGTTGAAAAAGCCAGTAATCCCTGGATTTAAGAGAAATAAACACTGTCACAAAAATAAATTTGACTTGTAACAGAAACAGCCCAGCTTTTAAAGCCTAAGGAAGGATACTACAGGGGAAATAGGAAAAAAGAAACCTACATGACTTTTGGTTTTCTTCATTCTCTTTGTATAAGCGGTTTACTTTCTCTACCAGCTCCCATTTTTCACAACAGCCAGAATAGTTGACAAAATTCCGAGCCAGGATTTCCTTCAGCTGGCGCACGCTCATCCCTTCCACATCTTCAAGACTTGACAGGTCAGAGAGCGAAGCTCTCAGTCTCTTCTTGGAGATGCCAGGTGCCTGAAATTATACAGCACTTCTGTTCCTACCAATTCAGACCTCCCACAGCAAGGAAAATGACATGCTCTCACCCTACAGTCATGACTGGCCCTAGATATTCTTCCCAGATTACTTGTCAGTCCTTGAAGTATCCTATATCATAAAAAGCTAATATGCAAATTGTCCCCTTAGGAGTTCGACCACTCGCTTTGATGTGTGATCACCAGGGGGTGGTGCAGAATGAAGGAAGGCCCCGGCCGGCCGGCAGCTAATCGGCCCTGATCACCAGCCAAGTCTAGGGACCCTACCTGTGCACGAATTTCATGCACCGGGCCTCTAGTTATATATTGTGCTACATTCAAACCTAAAGAAATATCCTCTGCTAATCAGCAAAAGTGTACATGGGCCTTTTCCTGCTTGCCAGGTTGACATGTCAGGAAACCAAATTTTATAGATCTCACCTGTTCCTCCAAGTTGTCTTCTTCGTCGTCATCATCATCATCGTCATCGTCATCATCATCTGTGTTTGCTGATGCTGTTTCACTTTGTACCTATATGCATAATGGATATGGTTATGTCAGAAATCACCTTTTCCTAACAGTATCAACCCATCTTTATCACTGGAGTAAACCTTTCCACAGACTTTCCCCAAGAATGCGCTCAACAGTGGGCATGTTCCATGACTTCTTTGGATCCTGAATGCTGCTGCCCCTTCCAAAGAGTTGGGCCCTACATGATTTGATCAACTTCACGTCTGTAAAATTATAATTATCTCAAAAGCCAAATTCCTAGGTATATGTGAATTTATAAAACCTAACCAGAACCCTGAGGACAGTCCCATCATGGGACCATAGTCCAAAGCCATAAGCCTATGGAATTGCACTGAGTCATTATCAAAGGACCTGCCTACATATAGCTAGTTTAAGCCTCTAAGATATAGATAGAAACTAAAGTTCTAAGATCAGTGCAAGTGTCGGGGGATATGACTGAAAGATCTCGATAGTAATTCCAAAGAATGGTTTCTAGACTTCTTCACTGATGGCTATTGCTAGTTCTAGTTTTTAGAAATTCCTCAACAGTCAGAGGCACTCTTCTCTTTAGGAAGGACAGAAATCCGTTTGATTTATATACCTTCTTTCATATCTTTCTCTGACTTTTTCTTGACCATGGCTCTATAACAACAGTCAAGGTTAGTTCTGTTTCAAATATTCTACCTCACTGGTACACAAGCATCAAATGGCAGCATCTGCAGACCTCACTGGGAGAGTATTCTGCACTGGTACTTCTTTGAAATTAACAAATAACCACATTCATTCACTAATTCAATGGTTCTTTCCCATGATCCGAATTAGGACATTTTTACTGCAGCAAGACAACTGGGCATTAGGTTAACTTACACTACTGTTTCCATGGTTACTGACACAGCCTTGCAAATGTTTATATTTGACTTTTCAGTAATTATTTCACCATATAAGATAGGAAAACTGAGGTAACTAAGGTCAAGAAACTGATGAGTTATTTAGGACCCTTCAAATAGCTCACTTTTGGGCCACCTAGCACCTAAGCTTGGAAACTCACATCAGGAGGCTTGTAAGTGCAAAGTTCAGCAGTGTGTGGAACCTCTGCTCCCACAAGGAGGCATCAACCCCTAAAGACCCCACCAAGAGTAGACATGCCAGACCCTTAGGGTAATTACCAATCATACCTGTGCCAAGGCTCCAGATCCTAAAGTCCGGTCTCTACCCATTAGTTCTCCCTGAAATGAAGACATGGTAGCAGAGGGTGCTGTATAGTTTGAAAAAAATGAATGTGTAAAAAAACTAGAATTCTGGGACCTTGAGGAATTCAGACTGCTGGTGTCCAGGTCATCCTCAGAGCCCAGCCCATGGTGGCACAGCACTAAATCTACCAAGTCTTCTTTCTCTCGACAGGTATCAATGGGTATGTTTCTAAGAATGAGATATTGCCGCAGATCCTTCACTTTCAGTCGCATTAACTGAGGGCGCTGAAAGGCCGTCTCTTGTAATAAGTGGCAGGTGGAACATCTACGAAGATTTTCTTGTAAGACTGAGCAAACGGAGCAAAAATCCTTCTTGCAGTCACAACATATGTGCTGAAGAAACAAATAGAAAAGAAGCATTTAATGATAGCCAGCTATGAGCCGTTGTGAAAGTACTAGTTTTCTTTCTTTTTTGCCTTCTTTTAACATTTAATTCTAGTTCTTATGAAGTGCTCTGTGGCACCAGACTATTCTCACAGGTGTTTTTATGTTCCAAAAGCCATGAAAATAAAGAACAGTCACTGCCAAGGCAGTTTGGATTCACAGAAGTTCAAATACAGCCCTTTAAAAAAAAAAACATACACTCTTGTGTTAATGAATTAAAACCTTTCCACCCCTTGGGGCAAACATGTAATTAGCAGAGCAGAGCTGTCTGGAACCACATGGAGCAGAAAGCACAACCACAAACTTTTTTTATGGGAACAATTTCCACTTAAAGAGAAGCAGGGGAGGGGAATGCGTATAACACAAGGAAGGAGAAAGGCAACTGATCTCTCAAGATCAATCCAAGTGAACAGAGGACCCCACTAATGCAGTAATCTTTACCCTACACAGCCTTAATCACAGTCAAAGCCATTCCACTAGCAAAACTTAAAGTAGACACTAAGATGTGGTCATTTCCACTTGGTGCATTGTTCCCACAAGCTAATACCTTGTTCCTTAAGTATTTTAAAGGACTGAATTGACAATCAAAGATTGTGAGAACTATTGCATGATGGTTCTCAGAAAGAACAACTTTAACCCAAGTGTTTTATGTTGAACAGTAGTAACCTTAATACTTACATTTATTTCTTCACTTGAGTTAAGAATATGGTTAGGGATATTTTTTTTGAAACTTGAGATCAGAGTATATACAGTAAGTCATCTCTGAACAAAACTGTAGACTAATTAAATCTCTTGCTTTAGAACATAAGCATCATTAGGAAGAATCAAGGTGTACAAACAGGTCAAAGTTCAGGAGCAACATGACAAGTAACAATGTCTAGTCAGAAAACTTGAACAGTAATTTAGTCCCTCCAACTGAGTACTTTCCTAAATGGGAAATGATTAATAGGACTAACTTTCTGGTATTTTTATAAAAAGAAATGAAGATTCATTAATATTCAAAATTACATACAATCAAGAATTCTAATGTCTTTTGTATATAACATTTCATCTAACTCACCTTCTTTCTGAAGACTGAAAATGAAAGTCCACAGGCTTTGCAAACTATATTAGGCCCTTCTGTAGGTGCTGGTGGGTAAGTAGTGGAAAAATCAGAGTTTGGCGTAAATCTGAATGGACCGGTACTTCCGGCGAATCCTGCCTGCTGGCCCCTGACAGCTCCGGTTCCCATGACTTCATTCAGCAGTCCACAGCATGAAGCCCACATAGATGTGGCACCCGCCTGGAAAGGAATATAAGAAGGAACCAGATTAAAGCTAAGTGGAACCTGGGCTCTCTGAGATCCTCAGGGAATGCCATTCTGGAGAGGTATGTTTGCCCTACATAACTTTGAGATTATTCTTTAAAATTTTTTATTTTTATTGATTTCAGAGAGGAAGGGAGAGGAAGAGAGATAGATAGAAACATCAATGATGAGAGAGAATCATTGATTGGCTGCCTCCTGCACACCCCTACTGGGGATCGAGCCTGAAACCCGGCATGTGCCCTGGACCAGAATTGAACCCGGGACCCTTCAGTTCGCAGGCCAACACTCTATCCATTGAGCCAAACCAGCTAGAGCTGAGATTATTCTTTAAAGCAGGGGTCCTCAAACTACGGCCCGCAGGCCACATGCAAATACAAATATTGTATTTGTTCCGGTTTGTTTTTTAATTCAAAATAAGATATGTGCAGTGTGCATAGGAATTTGTCCATAGTTTTTTTTAAAACTATAGTCGGGCCCTCCAACGGTCTGAGGGACAGTGAACTGGCCCCCTGTTTAAAAAGTTTGAGGACCCCTGCTTTAAAGTGTCAAAATTTTAAGCTATTTGGAAAGATAACTTTCTGGTATTTGCAAATATTTCCCATTGGGGATACTCATAAAAACTACCTATTTTTTCTATGTGCTGAGGCAGATTTTCCCAGCTATCATTTAGCAGAAAGAATATAAATTCAAATTACTTAATTCCATTAAACTTCTGTTCTCATTTGTAACTGGGCATAATAAACCATGGCATAAATTTTTTTATTTAAAAAAAAAATGACTCGCCAAAACTGGTTTGGCTCAGTGGATAGAGCGTCGGCCTGCGGACTGAAAGGTCCCGGGTTCGATTCCGGTCAAGGGCATGTACCTGGGTTGCGGGCACATCCCCAGTGGGAAATGTGCAGGAGGCAGCTGATCGATGTTTCTCTCTCATCGATGTTTCTGGCTCTCTATCTCTCTCCCTTCCTCTCTGTAAAAAATCAATAAAATATATTTAAAAAAAAAATGGGAAAACATCAAAATGCCAACTGAAGCTCTTTTAAGTTTTTAATCTATCTTTGTATAATTTATTTTTTTGAGTTTTTCTCTACTTCCCAAAATCTTTAAAAAGAATATATTAATTTGACATTAAGGAAAATATTTTTTAAAAGCAGTTATTCTACTTTTTGTTGTTGTTAATCCTCACCAGAGGATAATTTTTTCAATTGTTTTTAGTGAGAGAGTGTAAGGAGAGAAGGGGGACAGAAACATCGATGTGAGAGAGACACATCCATTGGTTGCCTACGCACCCCTGACCGGGGCCTGGGATTGAACCTGCAACCCAGGTACATGCCTTAGATCAGGAATCGAACTGGAGATCCTTCAGTCCGAGGGCCAACACTAACCACTGAGCAACCAGTGAGGGCTATTCTACCTTTCAAACTGAAAATACTGAACACAAAATGTATGGGCTATCTGCCACTCCACTAAGTGGCCTGAAAGTAATGTACTGCCCTTTTATGTCTTTTTTCTTTCATCTCTTCCCTTTCTGTGAACCACAAACTGCTATCACTATACCTACCTAGCAATCTGTCTCCTTTTTTACTGCAGACTCAGAAACCCAATAACCAAGCTTGTTAGAAATATATATACATATTTTTTTCAGTGAGAGCTCAAGGTATTTTCCCATGCTTAAAGTAGAAAAGCTATGATGTTTGGAGCCAATGTTTGTCCCTTGACCTAATTTTAAAGCATATTGTAGACTCTGGATAAGTGATAGGTAATAGAAGTCCGGTTAGAAGAGATCTTAAGTCCAGTTAGGTGAGATCTTATGTGTTAAAATGGCAGCACATGACCTGGCATAGTTCATTTATTTATCTAATTTGTTCAAACATTTACTGTTTGTCCAAGTTCTTCAAAAACTTTTTAAAAACAATTTTAAAAGGTTATTTGGGATGCTATAGAAGGATCATACTATTCTTGCTACTACCCAGGAGTAATATGTTATATTAAATATAGGGAAAGGAGAAGGTAAAGTAGTAAGAAACCACAATACAAGATTCAAACAGTCTTAAGTATCAGGGTCACTGACTTAAGTATTATATAGCTTCACACCCTGTAATTCTCAAGAAATAGTGATGCCTTTAAAAGTCCGGTTAAATTATAGTTAATAGTTCATACCTTTAAATATATACTTTAGAATCATGGTTTGTTTAAACATAAAAGGATGAAAATCCAGATTTACTCATTTAAAGTGAATATTCTTTTTTTTAAAATTGATTTTAGAGAGAGGAAGGGAAAGAGAAAATCCACGTGAGAGAGAAACATCAATCAGGCCACCTCCCACACTTGCTCTAACCAGGGATAGAACCCTAATAAGTGCCCTGATTGGGAATCGAAACTGCCACCCTCTGGTATACAGGACAACACTCCAACCAACATAGCCACACCAGCCAGTGCTAAAGTGAGTATTCTTTTACCAGAGGATTCCGTCTACAGTGCTTTAAAAGGTAAGCTCTTAAAACAAGTAAAATGTTGTCTTAAAAATTTTAATTTGTACATAACATTTTGGGGGAGTTATACATAACTGTAGACTATACCACCGGAATAAACTTTTCTTCCAGAAGTTTAAAGAAGTAAAGTTTTTGAGAAGCTTCAGCTTCCTGCTGACCTAACTACTAAACAATTAAACAGCTATATTAGCTTTTATCCCTGTTTTGATTTCTGGGAGATGTCTTCCCAACTCCAGCAAATGTTCCTTGTGGACAGAACTTTTTTCCACTGCATCTATAGTTCTGCCATCATGACTCTGATAAATAACTGTGTAAAAGGTTCCTTTATATTACCTCTTGAACGGCAATGTAACATTATTTAAAATTTTCATGCTACCCAGAAAGTTCAAATTGTTTCAATGAGAAAAAATAATAAAGGTAAAAAATGACTCTGACCTAGCAGGTTAAAAATCTCAAATCCAAATCATACTCCCTTTTAAAAACAGCACTGCCACACATTGTGTTCTTTCAGAAATCAGTTGTATAATAAGTTACAGAATACGAATTTCCAAACCATGATCATTAAAATTCTAGGCTGAAAATGTTCACAGCTCTGGTGAAGAGAATAGAAGAGTTTACTTCAGGAAAACAGGTAGACATCAATATTGGAGGGTAACAATTTTGTCCCAATCCTCATGTTTCTATAAAGGGGATGGAATTTCCTTCTTCATTCACCAGAAGGGAAAATAATGAAAAGATCACTTCATCTTCTTTTGGTTACGTCATCATAAATTAAAAATTAAAAAACACAAGACAGGCAAAAATATGTTGCTACAACCTATTATTTGGTACAACTCAACCAAAAACCAGAGCAGAGGGAAAGAGGAAACACTGAAAAATCTAGGTTTTGGCCTCATTAGATCTGTGAACTCAAAATTGGACAAAATCTCCCAATAAGAGAATAATCTCCCAATAATACTCTTAGCACATCCTGAGGGTAAATCTGCCTCTGTATACTGTTAGCTTCTGACAGCATTGTTTGCAACACTCTAGCCTTCTTGAAAGGTCTGAAATTTGAAACAGTGGAAGCCTCAGTCACTAGTTTGTTTTTAATCCTGACCAGAAGATATATTTATGGACTTTTTAGAGAGAGAAGTAGGGAGAGAGAAAGAAACATTGATCAGTTGCCTCCCGTACGTACTCCAACTGGGGATCAAACGTGCAACTGGGGATCAAATGTGCCCTGACCAGGAATGAAACCCATAAACAAGAGCCACCCGGCTGGGACAGCTCAGTCACTAGTTTTATTTGAAGTACCTTTCCCCAGTTACCGTATCTGGTAGGATAATAGCCAAAAAGCTTCCCCTTTTGCACCCTTCCTTCAAAAGCTTTAGAGACCCAAGTTCTATTCTGTCTTCCCTATCCTCTAAGATCTTCCTCCTGCGTTCCCTTTATTTTTTTAAATTCACTCTCTGCTCATCTTTTATTAGCAAGCTTGAAGCTTTTCCCAAACTACTATATTTCCTCGTAGATTTTCTGAGCAAACCCAATTTCCAGACAGTACACAAGACACAGACCTTTGGCTTTTGAATTTTTAGTAAATTCACTGAGTTATTGCTCTGCCTCAATTCCAAAGAGGTATATTGCTGAAGTAAGGGTCACCATCCACCTTTTATTTGCTTTTAAACAAAAACAAAACAAACAATAACTATTACCCTTCCATGAATGAAGCCAAAGTCTGGATCTCTGAAAACTACAGCAATGATCTGGGTTTATGTGACTAAAAATTATAAATCCTATTTGGGACCAGGGTTAAGAGCAAGACTCTATAGGCTAAACTACATGAATCCAAGAGATTAGGAAGAATAATCTGTAAAGTTGGCAATATTTCCTCCCTTGATCAAGAATGTAGTTCAAAACAAGAGAGAAAAACCAGGCACATCTTCCTATGCTTGGCACAAAACTTCTAGCTCAAGGAATTTAGCTGTTTGCAGTTTATTTGCTAGTCATCAACTACTGAGAACAAATGGCTTTTCTTTGATAATCCCTTTTCTACACAACCCCTTCAGCCAAAATTGTTCCTGAACAGATTATTCTTGGGACCATGGCCTTGCTTATATCAGTTAAGAACCAGGTATCATATTAAAAGACTTACATGGGCCTAGTAAGAGATTAAATTCCACAGCCTCCTATCTGGACTGCCAGACACCTAGATTTCCTCATGCTATTCTGACACCCAATGCCAGTTTTGGTGTGTGTTTTTTCCCCAAAACCATTGCTCCAAGATTTTTTTAAAAATATACTTTTATTGCTTTCAGAGAGGAAGGGAGAGGGAGAAAGATAGAAACATCAATGATGAGAGTCATTGATCGGCTGCCTCCTGCACACCCCCCACCAGGGACCTAGCCCACAACCTGGGCATGTGCCCTGACCAGAATAGAACCTGGGACCTTTCAATCCCCAGGCTGATGCTCTATCCACTAAGCCAAACCAGCCAGGGCTGCTCCAAGATTTTTGAGGGCCAATAACACTACCTTTTTTTTTCACTCCTAATTGGGAACTAATTAAAAAATAAGACAAATAGAAATGTAGATGTTTGCTTCATTACTAACTAGAGGCCCGATGCACGAAATTTGTGCAAGGGGCTCGGCCCTCACAGCCTCTATGGCTTGCCTCAGCCTCGGCTTTGTCTGGAAAGTCATCCGGAAGGACATCCAGAAGGTCATCTGACTGTTGGGTTTAATTAGCATATTATGCTTTTATTATTATAGAAGATAACACCAATTGGAAAACATGACTTTAGCTCTGCAGCCAAATGGTCTTGATAATAGGACACCCCAGCTGACCAACAGCAGCTTACCATCTAGTTGACCATATTGCTATCCCCCCATAGGAAGACATCAGACAAGTCCCAGAGAGGGCTGAGCTAGAGCATGTGTAGTTCATTTGCTAAAACTCACCAGCCTAAAAATTGCTTTTTTCCCTCTGGTAATAGAAAGGCTGAAAGTGTTCCTCCTATATTGTTCCTTCCTTAAGAATGAATTCGAAATTTCCTCCCCTCGGTAGGAGTATAAAGGAGGGGAGCGGTGCATTAGAGGGGGACTGACAGATTCCAGGACTGTGACACTTTTTTCCACAATAGACTACTGATTTTATAAGCACTCTCTCATATTTCTCAGTCAGATTCACACAATATAAGCTCATTCTGAATCATCATTTCAGTCAACAAAGCAAGAGCAGCAGCCTATCCTTCTTTCCGACAGAGTGCCAGTTTTCAAATGGCCTCAAGGTTCAGCAGTCTTTGTTGTGTGTATAATCTAATATGCTTTTAGAATCCCTATGGTGGGGAAATACTTCCAAAATTTAAAGAATTAACAAATCTTTATTACAAATTTTGAAACCTAAACTACATTAGAATATGATGCCTTTTAATGATTCCACCAAATGTAATGGTAACCAGACAAACTAAAGAATAAGAAAAGCTGCCCTGATTTCAGGGATCAGTTTTACAACGAGTTACAGAAGAATGGTTAGAGCAGCGGTTCTCAACCTGTGGGTTGCGACCCCTTTGGCAGTCGAACGACCCTTTCACAGGGGTCACCTAAGACCATCCTGCATATCAGATATTTATATTACAATTCATAACAGTAGCAACATTACAGTTATGAAGTACCAACGAAAATAATTTTATGGTTGGGTCACAACATGAGGAACTGTATTTAAAGGGCCAGAAGGTTGAGAACCACTGGGTTAGAGTATTGTCCCAATATGCCAAGGTTGCGGGTTCTTTCCCTGGTCAGGCACAAAGAATCAACCAATGAATGCATGAATAAGGAGCAACAAGTCGATGTTTTCTTTCTCTCACACTCTTAAAAAAATAAAAATATATTTCCATGAAGATCAAATGACAGCCAAATACAGAGTCAATGGGTTTGAAAACAGCAGAAAACTAAATAATTATGTGGTAGGCAGTTAGATAGATATGAGCAGAGCAAGGACGATGAGCCAGGTATAAGTCACCAGGGGGGGTAAGCCCTGGGTGTTTAACTATGTGCAAAACTGGAAAAACAAGAACCTCACTGCCCCAGGGTAACCTTTCTTCCTCTAGCATATCATTGGCCATGCGGCTTGCATCGTCTCCTGACCTTTCCTCCCCTGGCATGTCCGTAGTCATGCAGACCCTTCAGGAGGAGGAACAAGGAGACAAAGAGTGGCCTCTAATCCAGGCCCTTGCACAACCACTCCCTTACGCATTAACCCGCATTAACCCGTAGGGATAACATCCAGGCCTCAGCTGTTTTAGCTCCAGGCTCAGAAAAGCTGCAAAACCTGACAAGCAATGCCAGGGCCTAGCATCAGGACCGCTGCATTGATGAATGACCCCCTGCCCTGGCACCTACCAATCAGTGAAGACCACGACTCTAAAAGGACACACCTGACCTCCTCCAAGATCCCTGCCTCTGGAGAGGGACCTCCTTCCCTCTTTCTATAGAACACACCCCCCTTTCTCCGCACCCCCTTCCCCAGGCACATTTTCCTTTCCAAGGCCCTTCTTTTGCCTCTTCAACTTGTTTCCTGAGCCCATTTCTTCTACAGCTGACTTCTACTTGTGACTTTGTAAATAAACTTTCTTAGCCAGAACTCAAGTACTGAGGTTGCTGAACCAAGGTCCAGTCTGATTCTACTGTTCTAACACCTAGTTCCCTTTTGCAAAAATTATGGTCTAAATCGTTTGCTTTTGATTAAACTAGGTAAGCAGCAGTAATCATAATGCCACCTCCTAAAAGCTGCTTGCCACAACTCTAAATTAAATAAGGTAATATTTTACAGATATTTTAAGGATAACTCTAGAAGTTTCAAATTCAAGAACATTTTCTTAGATGCTGTAAGAAGCTACAAAGACCAGGCAGGGATTCAGTTTTTCCATCAGTGAAAGTTTCCTCAGAGAATTCAACCACTGTAGCCTTTGTTTTAAACTCCAAACAACCTTCAATTTGCTAAAATTCAATGTCCTGTGTTTAAACTATATGAAAAGATATTTCAAATCTCGAAACCAGTAAATATAAAACAATGTTTTGCAGTTTGAATTTCAGTTGGGTTAAACTTTCCAGTAGAACTAGAGCAAAGCAGAAGAAACAGTTGAGATAATAAGCAAAAATACTGATCCTATTTAGAGCCACTTGAGAAAAATATGCTCCTTAAAATGTGAAAGGATTTCTTATTGAAACTGCTGCCTCAACTGAAAAACAATATGCAAGGAACTCTACTACATTTTTGACCAAACATTAGACCATATACCACCAAGGAGGAAAATCTACCTACACCGTAAATTCTTTCTTCGTACCATTTGGACATTAAGCAGGTTGCAAAAACGATACTAATCTTAAAAATGTAATACTTTTAGGTAAGACATTTGGTCACATCGATAGAGTTTTACAATAATGTGTGCTGGAGATCATTACCTTCCTCATGTTTGGGTTTTGTTTTCTTTTTCTAAAACAGTGTACTTGATCCTTAGCAACACTCCCCCACCTTTCAAAGAAAAAAAAGGAAAGAAAATTATAGTCAACATATTACTTTCTCCTTGATATCTCATTTTGAGCATGGAAGAATTAACGTGATTAGTACAATGAAGGAAAGCTGAGATCAATATAAATATAGAAAATCATGAAGGAGAATTAAATCAAATTAACATAGGACACCGATTTTGTTTTTGTTTTAAATCCCTTATGAGTTAATTACATGCTACTCTAAGGTTAAATAGTTACTTGAGTCTTGAGAGGTAAAACTTATTTAAAAACAAATTAAAGGAAGAAAGTAAATATCCATTCCACACATACACTAAAACCAGTTGCTCCTGGGTTTGAGTGAAGATGTACTTTATCTGATTGCTTTGCTTTCAAAATACTTTTAATTCCACTGGAAGTACCTGCTTAAGTGAACGTTCAAATGTTAGAATTCCTGACATCAGGAATCACTGACCCTGCCTAGAAATCCCCACAATTAAACAATTTCAATATAAAACAAAATTAAATAAATCCTAAATTTTGTGAATCCAGTTTTCACAAAAACATAAATGAAATGCAGTATCTTCATCATTGTCATCTTGTTCAAATGGAAGTCCATTTAGATCTGCTTCATGAAAATATATTTTCTACATCTTCAACCGCCACCAAACTTTGTTTCTAAAATTTCAACTCAGAAAGCTGTATCTCCCACCTAAATTAAAAAACACTTCTGTTTTTAAAGAACTTGCTTTAAAAATTCAACACTGGACCGTCCCTAATTCCTTCTACATCTAGTTCCTTGATGGGCCACACATTTAATACTAATAAAGATACTGATGTTCTTTGAGGCATTCTACCCATAGGTCCCTCTGTTGTTTTTGGAAGATGATGGTTTTCAAGAAAGCAAGCTAGTTTTAGACATTTTAATAAGTATTCTAAGTTGAAATATTTCATCACTAAAGCTTGGAAGTAAAAAAAATAAGCTCCTCCTAAGATAGCCTCATACTTGAACACACAGTTCAAAAGTTACCTATTGCAAAATTCTTCCTTGCTTCCGGCGGCCAGAAATAACCTTTCTTGCTCTTGGGGGTTTCACACTCCGCCCCCCCCCCCCCCCATTCTCATAATGTAGTTACTTGGAATGTCTCTCTTGACTGGCAAACTTCTAAAGGGTGGGATTGTGTTTTGAATTACTTCTACTAACAACATCTCCGTCCTGAGACACAGGACATGTTTGATAAAATGTATGTTGAATTTCTCCAGCTACCTGACACTCCCTGATCAGTCTTCCACAGTCAATCTCGGAGACTTTGTGCAGGTCCAGTTCTCAGCCGGCCGCTCGCTCTGTTAGCTTTCATACCGCACCGAGCACACCTCTTCACGGAGATGAATGAAATCGGCTTGTGTCTCAAAGGGTAGCATCACCTTATGACTCACCCCGCCGGGTTGGAGTTGGGCAAATGAATCAATACCTGAACTGACTGTTGTACACGGAGCTCTTGAAAATTCCCAGCTCCCCAAAGTAGGCCAGAACCTGCCCCCTTCCCTTCCACTCCTCACTCGGCGATGCTCCCACGCTCTCACACCCACCTTGAAGAACTCAAGCTGTCAAATTACTTGCTGCGTAACCTACTGGCGATGCAGACACATCCAGTTTGCTAGCGCTTTAGGTCGCGGCCCCCAATGTTAAACCTACGGGGGGAAAAAAAAAATCCTTCGGGGAGGGATCCCCGGCCCGAGACATGTCGAACCTATTAGCCTGGTCCCAGCCTCACGGCTCCCCTCATCATCACTCCTTTTCTCTTCCTCCTGCAGTTGTGGTCCTGCGACAGTCCCGTGGTGGTCCCGACAGTTGGGTTAGTTCAAGGACTCGGGGCGGGCAAGGGCACGCAGTGGGCAAAGCCGCGAGGGCTGAGGCGAACACGAGTGGGTCTGTCTCAGGCCCCCGAGGACGCGGACCGGGCCCGGCGCAGAACGAAGCCCTGAGGCGTGAGCGCAGGGGGCGCCCGGCCTCTCCTCGCTCCTCGGGCTTGCTGCCCGGAGGCGCTGTGGGAGTTGGGGAGATTGGGGAACCCAGGGTATCTGTCGGGGATCGGTCAGGGACCCAGACGCCGGGCGGCCAGGTCGCCCCTCAGCGGAGGTCTCTGGAGAGGTGCCGCCGAGGAGAAAAGAAAGCAATTCGGGCGCTCTGGCCGGAGAGGAGAGACGAGGAGGGACTGCCCTGCTCCCCCGGTCCCTCACCTTCATGGCCGCGACCGCCGCGTCTCGGTCGGCTCCCGCCGCAAACTCAACACCATCACAGCTCCTCGCAGAGACGGGCTCCTTCCTTCTGGACCGCGATTACGGTGCCTCCGGAGGCGACCAAGCGTCCGGACGTAAGGGGCGTGGTCACGCCCGCCGCGCGCCCCCGGGAAAGAGCGCCGAGCGGCGGCCAAGTTGACCAATCCAAAGCCGAAACTCGGGGGGCCGGTCACCAGAGCCAATCAAGTAGTGGAAGTGGGGCGGGGCCTCGGCGCAGCTGGGTGGGCGGAGGAAGACTCCATCCGGGCTGGAGCGGCTCAGGGCGGATCTGGGCGTGGCGGGAGGCTTTCTCCCGGCGGTTTTCGGTCCCTGAGGAACCTGTGCGGCTGAGACTTGGCTCTAGGTCAAGCTCCCCAGGGCGGGAAGAGGCGTGATGCGTTTGAAAACGCCGGTAGGTTTGCAGGCTTTTTGTTTTAACCGTCAGAGCAGGGCCCTCCGATTTCCGCTCGAGACTTTCGAGCCCCTCACACTCGGTAATGACCTCGGGTCTCCTCACCAGAGGGTCCGGGCGGCTGCGGCAGCTGCGCACTCACAGACGCGGTTTTGAAACGGCGTTGTTGGAAACATTTCAATAACGGTTCTCAAATCCCAGCTGCTCTTTATAGAGCCATGTTCAAAACGACCAAATTCTAACACAATGAGAGAATTCAGGTGAGCCCTTAGAGTGCAGGGTTGTTGTTGTTGTTTTTTTAACAGAACGAGTAAATTCAAGTATTCAGCTTGACTGGATGACACTCAGTTGGTTTCCCTACATTCATCCCTCTTCCCTCCAACTCAACCAGTATTTTAGTTTTAAATAAGAAAGAGACATGAAGATGCCGAGTCACTTGTCTGAAGGACCTAAGACTGTTGTATTCCTTTGTACTAGGCTTGCTTATTTATATATCCTGTGCCAGGTTAAAACACGGAGCCACGCCACTTCCTGAGGCTGAAATGATTCTTAATTTTTAGCTTATTTTTCTTGCTTCAAGCATTGACTTACCCAAAGAGGAAAGTCCTGGATTTTCCTCTTTGCAAAAACAAGAAGAAAGCCTTTCCTCACCATGTCAGAGTCGTCGCTGAGCGTCACTGGAAGAGAGTATCACTTCTTCTAATGATCTAGGCACAAAGAAACTCAGTAAAAACTTGCTAATGGTACAAAGCCATATTTCTCATTAGAAAGGAAGCTGGCAGGTCTACCCCAAGAGTTAATAAGTACATGAAAAGAAGCTCAACATCATTAGCCATCGGGGAAATGCAAATCAAAACCACAAATGAGATACCACTCCATACCAATTAGGATGGCAAAAAAAATAATAATAATAAGTGTTATTGCGGATGTGGAGAAACTGGAACCTTAATACATTGCTGATGGGACTGTAACATGGGGCAGCTGCTTTGGAAAACAGTCTGGCAGTTCCTCAAAATGTTAAACATGGAGTAATCATATGACCCAGCAATTCCATTCGTAGGTATAAACTCAAGAGAAATGAAAACTAATATCCACACACAAAAAAAATCCTTGTCCGTGAATGTTTATTGCAGTATAAGTACTGGTACAGTAGCCCCAAAGTGGGAACAACCCTAGTGTCCATTATTTAATGAATGGGTAAATAAAATGTGGTCTAGCCATACAATGGAATATTATTTAGCCAAAATAAGAATGAAGTACTGGCCCTGGCCCAGCAGTTAAATTGGTTAGAGTGTTGTTTCCCATATGCCAAGGTTGTGAGTTGGATCTCCGGTCAGGGCACATAAAAGAAGCAGCTGCAGGAGGAAGAGAAAAGGAGTGATGATTCGGGGAGCCGTGAGGCTGGGACCAGGCTAATAGGTTAGACATGTCTCAGGCCGGGGATCCCTCCCCAAAGGATTTTTTTTTTTTCCTCGTAGGTTCAACCTGTGGGTCTCGACCCCTTTGGCGGTCGAACGACCCTTTCACAGGGGTCGCCTAAGACCATCCTGCATATCAGATATTTACATTACGATTCATAACAGTAGCAACATTACAGTTATGAAGTAGCAACGAAAATAATTTTATGGTTGGGTCACGACATGAGGAACTGTATTTAAAGGGCCAGAAAGTTGAGAACTACTGCCGTAGACAGTCAGAGGGAGTACCCGGAGTCTCTCCCGTTGGCCAAGAAGGCGGCAGGTGGAGGTGCTCCATAGAGTCAAAGTGGGCCCTCCCTCCAGAGGATATTAATCTGTAGGTCTCAGGCGAGGATCCCAGTAGAACATTCCTCAGCTTTCCAGGTGTGTCCTTTCAGGGTCGTGATCTCTACTCGGTTGGCGCCAGGGTATGGGGGTCATGACTCAAATGAGCTGGTCCTAATGTAAGCCATGACGTTGCTTGTCTGGTTTTGCAGCTTTTCTGGGCCTGGAGTTGAAACACCACTGATGTGGATGCAGGTCAGAACCTCATTGTCCTTAGGAGCTTAATGCTTAAGGGCTTTCTTTGGCCTCTGTTCATCTTCTAAAGGAATCTAACCCTCATGACTAGAAACATGCCACCATGGAGGAAAGGTCAGGGGAGGGTCCGAACAGTATGACCAGTGATATGCTAGGGGAGGACAAGTTACCCTGGGGGCAAGGTCCTTGTTTTCCTAGTTTTGCTTGTTGCTAGGTACGCCCTGGTGACCTTCTGCACCTGGCCCCATCATCCTTGTTCTGCTCATGCCTATCTAACTGCTTACCACAATTCCATATACTGTATGTGAAATGTCCAGACTAGGCAAATTCATAGAGACAGAAAGTAGGGTAGCAGTTGCCTAGGGTTGAGGGGTTGCGAGGGGAAGGGATGGAGTGACTATTAATGGGCGCAGGGTTTCTTTGGGGAGGTGATGAAAATGCTCTAAAATTGATTGTGGTGATGATTGCACAAGTCTGTAAGTATGCAAAACATATTTTTGTGTAATTTAAATGAGTGAATTGTATATGTATGATATGTGAATCATATGTGGGGTTTTTTGTTTGTTTTTTAAATATATTTTATTGATTTTTTACAGAGAGAAAGGGAGAGGGATAGAGTCAGAAACATCGACCAGCTGCCTCCTGCACACTCCCCACTGGGTATGTGCCCGCAACCAAGGTACATGCCCTTGGCCGGAATCGAACCTGGGACCCCTGAGTCCGCAGGCCGACGCTCTATCCACTGAGCCAAACCGGTTAGGGCGAATCATATGTTTTTTAAAAAATGTATTTTTTTTTTTATTTCAGAGAGAAAGAGTGATAGAAACATCAATGATGAGAGAGAATGATTGATTGGCTGCCTCTTGCAGGATCGCCCCTACTGGGGATAGAGCCCACAACCCGGGCATGTGCCCTTGGCCGGAATTGAACCTGGAATCCTTTAGTCTGTAGGCTGACGTTCTATCCACTGAGCCAAACCAGCTAGGGCTGAATTATATCTTAATAAAGCTGTGATAATAATGATAATAAAAAATATTGAGAAACAAAAAAAATAGTTAATGAAGCTGAAGGGTATCCAGAGTAAAACAATTACAACAACAACAACAACAACAAAAACAACCAAGAGTAGGTAGAGATTTAAGTATTGGAGACCATTTTATTTTATTTTATTGCTAGAGGCCTGGTGCACGAAATTCATGCGCGGGGGAGGCGGGGTGTCCCTCAGCCTGGCCTGTACCCTCTCCAATTCCGGACATCCCTCTCGAAATCTGGGACTGCTGGCTCCTAACCGCTCGCCTGCCTCCCTGCCTGATCACCCCTAACTGCACCCCTGCCAGCCTGATCGCCCTTAACCACCTCTGCCTGTCAGCCTGATCGCCCCCTAACTGCCCTCCCCTGCTGGCCTGATTGCTCCTAACTGCTCCCCTCTGCTGGCCTGATCACTCCTAACCACCTCTGCCTTGGCCCCACCACCGTGGCTTTGTCCGGAAGATGTCCGGTCTAATTAGCATATTCCTCTTTTATTAGTATAGATTATTATTTCTTGTTATTAATCCTTACCTGAGTATATTTTTTTCTTTGATTTTTAGAGAACGTGGAAGGGAGGGAGGAAGAGACTTTTTATAATAACACTCTTTTTCAGGTATGTACTAGTTGTACCAATTGTGGTTCAGGCAAATAGTTTGTTTTTTAACAGTCATAGCAGTTCAGTACTTTGTATTTCAGAGTCAAAAAGTATTATCAAGACAGGTGGGATAAGTTATTGCAGTTCAACTATTTGCTTAGGATGTATTGGGGCTGTTCTCTGAGTTTGTTTTTTTAATCCCTCACAAAATTTTTTAATTGAATTCACAATGTGCTTAAGCCAAATTCAAGAAGCAGCAATTTTTAAAAAAATTTTTATTTATGGATTTAGAGAAGAGAAACATCATTCATTGGTTGATTCTTTTTTTAAAATATATTTTTATTGATTTTTTACAGAGAGGAAGGGAGAGGGATAGAGAGTTAGAAAAATCGATGTGAGAGAAACATCGATCAGCTGCCTCCTGCACACCCCCAACTGGGGATGTGCCCGCAACCAAGGTACATGCCCTTGACCGGGAATTGAACCCGGGACCCTTCAGTCCGCAGGCCGACGCTCTATCCACTGAGCCACACCAGTCAGGCCATTGGTTGATTCTTGTATGTGCCCTGACCAGGGATTGAACCCCAAACCTTGGCATATCAAGATGATGCTGTAACTAACTGAACCACCCGGGCAGGGCTAAAAAAATTTTCTAAGTTACTAAATAATCTGTTTATTTCAACATCATGTGTATTCATAAAACAAGAGGGTAGAAAGCTAACTATTTTTATTTTAGCAATGGACTTAATGATAAATCATGGGAGATCTTATCAACTTTTCAAAGTTGGTTAGCAACTTGATATAATAAGCCATTTCTTATTTTGTAAAATCTCAAGCATACATATATGAAGCAAATAGAATGGTGTAATGAAGTCCCATGTATCCATCACCCAGTTTTAACAATTCTCCACATTCTATCATTCTTGTCTCAAATCCAACACTCACATCTCTCTACCCACTTCCCACCCACCCCCCATCTGAGTTAAGTTGCATTATTAAATTAGTGCATGACTGGTTGCCTAGCTATGATCCAAATGAAAGTATCTGATAAT